AAAAACAGTAACTACTAACAATAACGAAGAATAATTTAAAAAAGAAACTAAAAATATGTACATAGTTATGATAAACCCATAAATTAGAACTGGGAAAAGATACAATAATGTAACAAAATAAAAATACTTCAAAATAGATTTTCGAAATGGAACCCTGCAGCCTGTACACATTTTTGTTGCCGAATTGTTAATTGACGTATTGAATTACGGATACTCTGGGGATCGTTTCTAATAATATTACAACAATGTATAATTCTTATGAAATTAATTGTTGTCGGTTATTAATATTCACTGCGTAAACTAGTTGCTTCAATCGTCCCCAAATATGGTAATCAACGGGATTGAAATCAGGGGATCTTGAAGGCCACGAAATAGGACCTGCACGTCCTATCCACCTGTTGCCATAAACATTATTGAGATGTTGTCTCACTGCCAGTAAAAAGTATGGGGGTGCCCCATCATGCTGAAAATACATCCCTCGGATAGCAACGTTCGCATTGGCAAGCAAATTCGGCAAAATATTTTGTAGAAATGTCAAATAGACCTGCCCTTTAAAGGACCATCAAAAAAGTGAGGACCTACTAATTGGTTATTTATGAGACCAATCCACACGTTTACCGACAACCTTAACTGAGAACGACGTTCTCGAATAGCATGGGGATTTTCTTCTGCCCACATATGTAAATTTCGTGAATTATTTATCCCGTCTCTGGTAAATTGGGCTTCATCTGTAAATAGTGTCCTGTATAAGCGTTGGTCAATTATTGTTAATCCATCTACAAAATTCCAACCTATCGATCTCATCTCCAGCATGTAGTCGCTGAACCATTTGAATGTGATATGTGGTATAGATTATTTTTTTGTAAGACTCTACTTACTTTTGATTGAGTAACATTGAGTTCTCTACTTACTTGTCTAGTGCTTATTGTAGGGTTCATAGTAACGGCGTCCGTAATGTCATCTTCCTGCGCTTCATCTACATGTCGCTCTGTTGTTCCACTAGAAAAGTGCCATTTTCTCGCCAATAATTAAAAACTGACCCAAACTGTTGGATGACTGGGAGTTCGACGATTAGGAAATCTCCTGCGATATTCTCTACTAGCAGCCCTACCATTACCATTACAGAAATCCATAAACAAATATTATGTCTGCATATTCTGTGGTCGAAAACTGATGTGGCATATTGAACGAAAGTAACAAAAGCTTTACCAAAACTAACACAATGTACTTAACGTAGATATGACAGAAGAAATATGTATTCTTGTACACATAAATAACAATTGATAATGACAATGGCTATAAAATATCAAGAAACGTCAAACGGTCAACGCCAACCTTCAAGTACAGTTGATGCAATGTATTATTATTTGACATAAAATTTTAATCATTTACAATCAACAAAAACTAACACATACAAGAGGTTTGACTTTTTAATCAATTTAATTTATTATTTATCGAAAATAATGCCCCAATACGATCTATGAGTAAAAATTTTAAATTGAAAAACAATTGATTCTATCGTAGAGATAATACAAAGTGATAGTAAAGATGTTAATTTTCTACGTATTAGATTATGTTGTAGGAACTCATTTTAATTAAAATTGTTTGAAATTTATAACATTTGTTTAAATTAATACCTTATAATTTGATACTTCATTATGGTTGTTCTATTTTGGTAAGATTGATCGTTCACTAAAAAATTTAATAAAAGTGCGACATTGTCGCATATGTCGTTTTCATTGGCTATTTATGTAGTTTGAAAATCACTCATTGCATTTAAAAAAATATATATACAGGGTGTAATATTTAATACGAATCCCTAAATTAATTTTTCCAAAGCCAGTCCTGGATTTTTTAAATTTAGCTAATACCACTCGAATGCTTGATAGTAGTGTACTGTATCATGCAAAAATTTAAAAAAATTAAAATGTGCCGTATAAACACTACAGTAAAATGAAATAAATGGTCAATTACACAAATCCCCTGGCCATTGATTATAAACCACCACCACGTGGATGGTTTATAATCAATGCTTTGGCCAAATTAACCTAGGTCAATTTTTTTTATTTGAAAATTCGGGTAAAAATACTAGCTTTTCGAATGTAAAAAAAATTTTTTTTTAAGGACAATGTTTTTAAAGTTTTTCTAAATGTTTATAAGCTACATTATTTAAAAAATTTGGCATCAGGATTTTTGACTATAATAAATTATTTTTTATCTTTTTTTAATACATATTGATAGTTTAAGTCTTTTGCTTTCATTTTTTGTCACCCAGAGCATTACCCTATCTATATTATTTTCTGTCTTATGTTATTGTAAAAAAAAGGTCTCTGGGATAAACAAATACAATAACTTTTAAACTAATTATTATATCGTTCCCAAATTTTGAGGGTACACCAATGCCCAACTTTGGGTGGAACTCTAAAGTTTAAAGTTTAAGTTTCCTAAAAGTTTTTAGCAAATATCAATTGTCCCTTATTTTGCAGTTTGTGAAGCAACAAATTGACTTTTCAAAAATCGTCATTTTGAAGCTTTATCGATATACTTAAAAATAAAATGTTGTAATTCTATGTCAAGTATTTAGTATCGAACGTATGTCGAACATGTGTATCAGAAACGCTTTTATATGTAGAAATGTATGGTGTAAGATAATTTTTGACAAGAAATTCTACTCCATCATATGTTTCGTCTTTGTGAGAGACATTCATAAGAACACCGAACTTTGTGAGAGATAAAAATGAGCAAATGATTACAGCTGAAAATAAAATAATCGAAAGATGGGCTGAATACTTTGAAAGTCTTCTAAATGTCCAGGTAGACGCGGATGGAAATAAAGCAAATTGTGAGTACCAAACGGCCGAGATAGAATTACCCCCGCCAAGCTTGGAAGAAATTATCACGGCGATAAAAACCCTAAAAAATGACAAATCCCCGGGACTAGACAATATTGATGCAGAACTGATTAAAAAAGGAGGGCATGAACTTAGAACTAAAATACACCAATTAATGAAAGAAGCCTGGGAACAAGAAATAATGCCAAAAGAATGGAGTGGCTGTATTATCGTGCCAATACATAAAAAAGGCAGAAAGGATACATGTGGCAACTACAGGGGAATCTCACTAATCGGTACTACATTTAAGATATTAGCTTCAGTTGTACTAAAACGATTACTACCATATACAGAGGAAATTATTGGCGATTACCAATGCGGCTTTAGGCCTGGAAGATCAACAATCGACCAAATATTTACTATCAGACAAATGCTAGAAAAGTATTGGGAATACAATAAAGAAGTACTCCAGATCTTCATAGATTTCAAACAAGCATATGATTCCATAGATCGCTTAAAACTGTGGAGTGCAATGATTGAGTTAGGCGTACCAAAGAAGCTGACCATGATTGCGCGAATGTGTGTCAACAATTCCTTTGCACAAATTAGAATAGAAGGCAAAACTTCAAATGCTTTCGGCATAAGCACCGGGTCAGACAGGGAGACCCGCTGTCCCCATTACTATTTAACCTAGCATTGGAATACACAATGCGTAAAATCTATACCAGAGTCAAATTAGACATAACTGCCAGAGGAGCAAAGATTATTCTCGCATTTGCAGATGATGTAGATGCAGTAGCACAGACAACACTGGAAGTTAAGGATATAGTATCGAACACTAAGCGTAGGCCTGAAAATAAACGAAAAAAAAAACTAAATACATGGTCGTATCAAAAAGGAACGACAGCGGATAAGACAAAACATTACCATAAACTATATAATTTTGTGGTGGTCAAAGAATTCAAATACCTAGGAGCAACAATTACCAGTGAAAACACAGGAGAACGGGAGGTTGAAATACGAATACTGGCGGGGAATAAATCATTCTTTGCCCTTCAACATCTAATAAGGTCAAAGCTTTTCTCAAGGCGTGCCAAAATCCAAATGTACAAAACCATAATACGACCAGCAGTGACATATGGAAGTGAAACATGGACATTGAGAAAGAAAGAAATCAATAAGCTATTAGTATGGGAACGCAAATTCCTACGAATTATATATGGTCCTTGCAGGGACAGCGTGACAAATGAATGGAGGAGCAAATACATTAATGAAATAGAGACTCTCTTCGGGAAAGGAAACATCGTAAGATACATAAAAGCCAATAGAATAAGATGGGCAGGCCACGTGGTACGGAGTAATGACGACAGACTGATTAAAAATGTGTTTTGGGAAAGACCAGATGGTAGAAGATCGACAGGAAGGCCTAGAAAAAGGTGGAAAGACGCAGTCAGGGAAGACCTGGAGAAGATGGAAGTAAGGCCATAGGAAATAATAGCACAGGATCGGAATCAATGGAAGACAATAGTAAACGTGGCAAAAACTCACGAAGAGTTGTAAAAGCCAATGATGATGATGATATGTTTTGTCTATTTTTACTGTATAATATAGGCGATTTCCAGAGTTTCGTATTTTGTTTTCACTTCTGACAGTCCTACAATATTTCACATTATCTTGGATAGTTCTTCTTCTAATTTGTAGACCTCGATTTCATCTTTAGCCATCGATTTCATGTTGTATGTGGCTAGTAGTAACTGTTTTTGCTTGTTCGTATCCATTCTGACCGGTTTTCCGGTTTAGGATTCTGAGCTGCTAGCTCTACCCACCTGGGGTATCGTCCCACTTTCTGTCAAGTTCAACGTTTTGAGGGGTATATTGGCATTAAAACACCACGCGTGCCGGGTTGGTGAGTGTTCGCAGTATTACACAGCCGGTTAAATCAGTATTTTTTTATTTTCGCCTTCGAATAATAATTATTAGTATTATTAATTTGGAACTTAATAAGTTTAGTTTTAGAGGACCCTATCACAAAGGATATGTCACAAAGTAGCCTCTCTTTACGGTAGCTAATGTTTAGCAAAACTTCTACTTGCGATGTGAAGTATAGTAAACATACATTATATTGTACTTCACTTTATAGAAAATATACTAAAATAAATATATTTTTAGGACAAATGCACACGTAACAACGTCAAGTATAATGAGTTTAAGTAGATACCAGAAGATGACGTTATTATCACTAGCTTTGGTCGATTTTATGAGTTTTTGCTCAATGTCGATTATGGCTCCCTTTTTTCCAAGAGAGGCGTTTGAGAAAGGGATGTCTGATACAATGACTGGTTTTGTATTCAGTTTTTATGCCCTAGTCATGTTTTTGTCATCGCCAATATTTGGAAAAATCGTAAGTAAACTTTAAATTATAATTTTACTTGGATTGCAGTAGATAACCGAGATATTGCAGTGAGCAGTTCTCCCTCTACCTTTCCCTGGTGGTATTTTGCGAGTACCAATAATTTAGCGGGTTATACCTTTTTATTCCTTTATTGTAAATGCCCCATCAATAAGTTGGATTATAAAATTTAAATCTTCATTTAGAAGCCATTATTTTCAGGTAAAAAGGGAGCATTGACTCTAGAAACAATAAATGTTCAGTATTAAATTCGCATGGTTTGTCAACTGTTGTACTTTCGTGGCTCAGACATTTACTGTAATCAATATTTTCTTTATCAAAAGGGAAGATTCCACATTTCTTGAAACCATTCTTCAAGACGTCTTCGTTTGCTGCTTGTAAAGCACTTTCAATTAATGGTGCGTAATTAGCTCGTGTGACAGCCCTAGCTCCAGTCTTATTCAACCAATCTGAAATCGGTTTCTTAGAATAAACTTTAATAGGACGAAATACTGGCACGTCTGCTGGTTGTAAAATATGAGCGGCATTGGGCAGCAATGAATACAAGATGATACCATTTTCAAATAGGTAAAGAAATACTAAATAAGACTTACTCACAATCAATTTAATTTAACTATCAGACGACCAGTTTCGCTTTCTACAATATGCAAAGCATCTTCAGGTCTCGATACAAAGTTAAATAAATGCTGAAATGATAAAAACCCATATTAGGGTGTTGTCTAATAAAGATAAACAAATTAGATGTTTGTAAATTACAATAATTATGCCAATATTACATGTCTGTGGTTTTAATTTCAAATTGAGTAAGTTGAATAAAAAGGTATAAAAAGTTGTAAAAGTTTAAACAGACTTGGTAAGACCCACAAATTGTTATAAAATAGTCTATTGGATTGTAATAAATTAATAAATGAGCAAATAAATAAAAATTACTTACATGCCGGTACTCTATTAATTGATGGATGGTAGAACATGGTTGAAACTACTATGTATTGTTGAATGGAGAACTCAATTCTGCTATTGTATTGTATACAATATTTTATTGTATACAAATTTTCTTTCACACATTGGACACTATGGCTAAACAATTTTATAGTAATTCGTAAAAAAATGTTAATTGTTGAATATCACCAGTTCTGAAATTAATTATTTTAAAATACTTTTTAGCTACCAGTGTTTGGAGCAAAGTTTTTATTTATACTTGGTATATTTGTGGCAGGATTATGTAATATTTTATTTGGGTAAGTACTTTTTATGTTTTATAATTTTTAATTTCACAAAAAATTTCTAATCCTGTGTAAAATCAGTTCATATTATACGAGGTATCCCGTACCGTTCTGTTCAATTATCGGTAATGTAATTTTTATGTTCAATTATAAGATGAAATAATATACACTTTGGAGAAGTTTAATCTTTAAGCATTTGTTTCCACATAGTATTTTTCAAGGAGAATGACTACTGGTCGGGATAATTAGAGTCGACTCATTTATTCTTTATGTATATACGAAAGACACAACAGAATCCTCATTTCTGCAAAAAATAAGATCTTAAAACAGTTGAAGCTATTTGAAAAAAATTATATAAAAAAATTTTGTTGATACCACTTAGCCAAAGTCGTATTGCATATCCACCTAGATTTGTAACTCTTGTTGCGATAACTCGTGATTGACTCCGTAAATAGAAATCAACCCTGCCTGATGAGACTTGCACACCACTAAAATGACATTGGAGTATACAATTTATGGGAATGAGGGGATTGATCTGTGTAAATTAGATACTAGTCCTTCACCCTCCTCTCTCTCGTTTTTTCGGCTCTTGTTGGTATTTTTTTGTGGCGTACGGGTTTTGTTAGTGATTTAATTCATATTTTTGATGGCTGAAGCCGTTTTTTGGTTTTTTTGTGAGGGTTTTCTAAAAAATAAAATAACATTATTATTGCAAGTTGCGGCATCTTATAGCGGCTTCCCACGGACGGCGATATTGCGGACGTAAGTGGACCAGCACGCACCACGCTCCATGGGAAGGGTCTCGTCCGTGCTGGTGCGTCCTATCCATCTAGAGTCGGTAACATCAAAGGTGCGGTACATGCTCGTGCGACGCGATCCTAGCGCGTCTGTGTTTTAACAGACGAAAAGTGCAAGTCAGAAGTTTTTCATTGGCTGACACGAGTAGTTGTCTGTAGTGTTGTCAAAGTTGTTTTGCAGTTTTTTGCTGAAAAATGGAATAGACAAACAAAGTTGTTTTTGATTTTTTAAATTTGTATCAAGATGAACGAAGTTTATGGAATTCCACGGCGCCAGAACATAAGAACCGGAACGATGCATACGGTGCATGGAACCGAATAAAAAATCAATTGAAGAATATTACTATTTCGATTAAAGAATTAAAAAAGAAGAGAGATAATTTAATGTCGACATACAGAAGGCAAAAAAAACAAAAGTTAGAGAATCGATGGGAACTAGTAGTGGGCCGATGATGTTTACAAGCCTAAGTGGCCTTTTTATGATATAATCAAACAATACTGTCACGGACCTACACAGACTGTCACGGACCGTAGGAAGAGCTCTGTCTGCGGTGCGTTGCCGTCCGTGCTGATCGGCTGTCCCGATCTGGATGTCTGTAGAATGTAGGATGTCTGTAGAATTGCCGATCGTGGGAAGCCACTATTAGACGAGCTTCTTTTGATAAAGCTACGATGATCTATTATTTTTCATACAAGTATAAATATTCGCTAAAATTTGTTCTTTAGAGGTTCTGTGTTTTCATCTGTGGTACAGATTATAACTTAATATCTCTTGCAGAATTCGGTTCGGATGGTTTTTAAGCTCAACGAATTTGATTCTAGATTTTCCTTTCGTGGTTTCTGGTTAAGTCTCTGAACAAGTAGCTCTCAGCTATGTATTGTCATTAAGTACCTCGGTATATCGACCTTAATTTCCCATTGGTCACTTGGCTTAAAATTTTTGTATAAATATTTGCACGACTTTAAGTCTAGGGACAGTCAATCTTCGACCTCAGCCTCACCTAGAGCATCGTACGCTCTAGAAAGCCTCCTGTCGGGGCTCTGCCCCATTCACCACTTTACACTCTGTAGCTGGTCTTATGTCAACATTAAGAAGTTGTTTTATCTTAATTTTAGTTTTTCATGTAAGAAATTTGACATTCTTTGTCAAGACTTGTTTGAATGTAAGAGAAGATCCAATCTACGCATGGATAAATGAGAGGTACTTCACAAGCTACACGTGAAGCCCCTAAGCAAAGCGTACAAGGCAAGAAGACAACAGCTTCACTTAGGCAATTATTGTGTGCATATTTTTCTTGTTGCTGTTACATGTATGTCCCCAAGAGATGTATATATTTGTAATTGCAGGTAATATGATGCTATTCATCAGTCTGTCTTGCACTGTTAGTTGATTTTCTGGGTTATCTCTTCTCTTTTTGAAGATTACCGCTCGAGTCTTCTCTGGATTATTGTATATTTCTATTCTTCTATTGTATCCAGTGCTATCTGTAGATTTTTTACGGCTGTATCCAGATTTTTATTGTTCCAGCTATGTCCCCGCTATCACCTGCAAAAAGCTAGGTAGTGCTCCGGATATTGTTGAAATATCGGCAGTATAAATAGTGTACAAAAGAGGTGACAGGAGTTCTCAGTGACAGTGACTTATCCTATCTTGACTCTGAACCTTTGGTTGCTTAAGTACAAGGAGGTGAGTCTCGTTAAGTCTTCGCTATATCCAATCTCCAATTTTGTGTCAGTCACTTTATGCCACACTCTGTCGAAGGCTTTGGTTCCGTCCAGAAAGCCTGCTGCTGTAAAATGTCGGTTTTTAAATCCAGCTACTATGTACTCTGTTAGTATGAGTACTTGTAGCTCACTAGAGTGTTGTACTGTAAATCCAAAGTGCGCTTCCGGGGTGAGTCCAAGCCTGTCTATTTCTGTTTGAGTTTGGTTGGTATGACTCTTTCTACTACCTGTAGTTTTGCGGAATGTGTTTGTTGTCTTTTCCTGGTTTAAATTCGTATTGAACTTTTAAAAGCTTTCCTGGATAGGCACGTATTTCATGTAGTCTAAATATACATCCTTATACACTAAAGACCATCCATTTTCTTTATCATTAAATGTTTGGTTGATTTTCCATCTTTTTTTCACATTTTCTTGGATTTGAAGATAGACTTGACATCAAGTGTTGCTAAAATTTTGCTGCTTTTTTCGTCACATTATAATATATATATTAAGAAAGATTTAGTTTTAGTTCTCTTTGTTAGTTTATATTGTGGTTAAGTCGTTACGGATGAGTTAACTGTTGGCATACCTGATCTCCAAAGACTATAAACTCGAAAAGCGCTGTATCATTACAAATTTAATTGCAAAACTTTAACTGCAACTTGGAGTAGGTGGGACTTTTGTAAGAAAAAATTAGTTATCTAAAAAAACATGCACACTTGGAAACTTTGATGTATTGTCGCGAGATATCTAAAGCGATCGATGTAACAAAACTGAAGAAATGTTAATATCTACAAATTAAAAGATACAGTAAATTTCATGGTACAATTTTTATGGTAAATAAAAATCATAAATCAACATCAACTTGGAATCAGTATTATTAATATAAATAAATTGTTTCAATATATCTAGAAATATTCCGAAAGATAATAGTCATTAATCACCAATTATATTTCCTAATATCCGTTCCGATAATTTATTGTTGACTTTATTAAAGTGATAATGCTGTTTACACAAAAGATTCAAAATCTACAAGACATGCTTAAGACAACGAAAGAAATATGCTACAGAATTTAGAGCCGGCACATCATCAACAATAAAAAAATATAGTATATTCATAATACCCTATAATAATTGCAACAAAGTTTATATTGGAGAAACATCTAGGAACATGTCGGGTAGATTAATATCGCAAAAGAGTGACATTAATATTTAATTAAAAATCCTTTGTAATAGGTATATATTTAAGACCCAAACGGGCTAAGTTAAAAAGACAAAACGTTTTCGGAAACCATGTTCCATCATCAGTGTCTGGGAGTACATGAATGTAGCCACCAAGATTAAATATATGGGTAAAAACCGGTTAACAGATGTTTAATCTTGGTGGCTACATTCATGTACTCCTAGACACTGATGATGGAACATGGTTTCCGAAAACGTTTTGTCTTTTTAACTTAGCCCGTTTGGGCCTTAAATATATACCTATTACAAAGGATTTTTAATTAAATTTTTTAATACATGGTATACAGCCAACTACAGGAACGTAGATTCCTTGTGAATGACATTAATATGAACAAAGGACAAGCCTGCGCATTAAATGAACATTCATTCACGATGAGTCACACTCCAAACTAAAGTGGCCCCTAGACAGTCAATATTAGCGTCAATATTATTGTACCGATATTGGAGCTACCGTAGAACAAATAATTCAATTTTAAGAGAGCTAAAAATTAGCCAACGACTCTCTAGTAAAGTCGATCTCCAACAATTAAAATATTTTGGGCATGTTATGAGAGCAAACACAGAAAACATGGAAAGACTCATAATACAAGGAAAGGTAGAAGGCCGAAGATCACGAGGAAGATCCCCAACAAGATAGATAGATCAAATTACAGGCATATGCCAAAGACCTATGCATGAATTAAAAGAAATGACCAGAGACAGAGATATCTGGAGACGGACAATACACGACATCACTTCGACCACTACACTTCCCTGGGGGGTCAGGATTGAAGAGAGAGGAGAGAGAGAGAGAGAGAGAGAGAGAGAGAATATTGTACCATATATTGCACAATATTATTGCACAATAAATTAGTTCCCGAATGAACCTTGTGCTATCAACATGTGGAATAAAAAAACGGCGATTTTTGTGGCTATCGCATTAGTTGTAGCTTCACAAGGAACGAAACAAAATAAACAGGTGAATGAAAGAATAGTTTAAAAAAGAAATAAGTATACTCATGAAAATTTATTAAATGATTTAAGAATTAGCGAACCAAGTGATTTTCAATACTTTCTGCGACTAGATAGTACATTCTTTGATGAACTATTAATGAATTGAATTTTTTTACTAACTGCAACTTATCAGCATCTGGATAATATTCTCTGTATTTTTGGAGCAATTGATCGTACTGTTAATTTTTTTTATTTTAATTACTATAATATTTTACTCTTGACGTTCCACAAAGCCGGTAACGACCGATACACATCGATGGACTCTATATTAAACATTCTTTCTTAAATTCTTAAATTCTTGTCCTAAATATTGGAAGCCCTGTAACTCTTCCACAGAAACCAAGGTTTGGACGGATCTGAAGAATTCTGAAGAGACCATACTGACAAAATTGAAAAGAAAACATATGCAAAACACTAAACTAACTAACTAGCACTAAAACATAGGCAAAATAGGGTAAAGTGGGGTAAGATGACGAATCGGGTAAGATGACGAATTCCCGATATTTTTCCAACGTACAACTCTGGCAACACTGTCTTCAGTCAGGACCGAACAGATATTCTAAGGTTTCTCGCCTTTGACTACAAATACGTTAGCGGCCAGAGTTTAGTATGATACAAGTGTTGGTACTGATATTGTGTTAGTGCTAACAATATTATTGTTTTCGAAAATAAGGTTTTAAAGGTTTTTGGTAAGTATTGGATAACTGTTGTATTTTTTGTTCGAAACTAATATCTTTTACGTATAAATTACTTACAGAAAATATTTGTTATGAATAATAAATTTGACTTTACGATTTTTAGAAAGAAAGATGACACTTGTGGGTAAGATGACGAGTTATTCGTCATCTTACCCGAATTAACTAAAATTAACAGTAAGTCATACCTACTTTCAATTTCAGATTTAAATATGGGCAAAATATACAAAAGAAAGACAGACAGACAATCTTGGTCGAAAGAAAATATAAAAAGAGCAATGGCTTAAATAACTGCTCATCAGGTAAGTGCCAATGCAGCCTCAAAAGCATATATTCCAGAACCTACTAGATCTGATAGATATAGATAAACGGGCATTTGGATTAACCACGGATCAGTTTAGAAAAATTGCTTTCGACTTTGCCGTTCATTGTGGTGTTGCTGATAGATACTACAAAGAAAATGGTTGGTAAAGACTTTGCACAATCCTTTTGCAGCATACTCACGAGCTTGCGAAGATTTTTTGATCAGTAATCCGGGTCGTCTTATAACATTGTATGACATTGCAACCCTATTTGGGAAAGCGTACTTAAAAGCAGCAACTGTTTCAAATACTCTTAGTGGTTTTAGAGCCACTGGCATATATCCTGTTGATAGCCAGGTGTTTGATATACTTGATTTTGAGGCATCTTTGGCAATAGTTTGGCAACTACCTCTGCTTTGGAAAATGTAAAGGTCGAAGAGGAAATGCCAGATATTTAAGGAATGTCACCGATATATGTTTTAAAAGAAACAGTACCTCAAGAACCTGTTGAAATATCTGACGAAATTTTAGATATTTCTATTCCAAATATGCCTGTTCCATCTACATCAGGAATAGCTGGTCGGACACCCCCTCATGTATCAAATCATATATTGAATAATGGTCTGCCTAAATTACTTGTTGCTGAAGTGAGAGCAAAACGACCCAGAAAGAAATTACCATCTCTCGTTATTTCCAGTACACCAATAGTAAAGATTTTAGAAGAAAAGGAAGCTCCAAATTAGCAAAAGAGAGGAAAAGGGATATAACAGAACAGAAGAAAATTGGAAAAGAAATAGAAGCAAAGACTTTAATTTTCAGCAAAAAATAGGAAATTCACTCTCGATAAAGGCAAAGGAAAAAGACTAAGAGAAAAATAAAATTTGACGACTCGTCTAACTCGTCAGTAGATATGGAATATGCTGACACTGATAACGATTCAGAGGAAGAAAGAGATTGCATAATCTGCAATGAAAGAGGAAAAGATGAGCTATGGTATTGCTGCAGCAGGTATAGGGAATGGGCTCACGATGAATGCACTGGAATGGATAGTCAAGAAGCAAAGGTAAAACAATGGACGTGTGATTGGTACTTTTAAAAATGTAGGACCTACTACAAGTGCTGCATTAGTTACAAAATAAATGCATTTTACTTTAATTTGTTTACTTTCCTGCCTATATATATATATTATATATATATATATATATATATATATATATATATATATATATATATATATATATATATACAATACACACATATATATATATATATATATATATATATAACTGACTTTTTTTCTTAGAATAGGCATACCTCGTCATCTTACCCTCCACAAAGGGTAAGATGACGAATATGACATAGGTAGATAAATTTTAAAATTTTATTTTGAAATATTAACCCTTACGTAATCTAATTTTAATATGTAAAGTACTATTACCAGCCAATTACCTTGTAGTTGCATGCATTCGATACAAGGAAAAATATCAGTTCTAGGATTTTTTTAAGCTTACTATCGTCATCTTGCCCTACTTTCCCCTACTAGCATATTCTTTCAATCTTTTTAATACCGTAATACCTTTTGGAATCAGTAAATGAATTAAATTTCGTAATCTATTTTTAGGCTTCTGGAGTATATTAGCAACTATACTCTTTTTACTACTTTTTGTATACTGATACGAGGATTTGAAGCGTTGGGTGCTAGCGCGTTTTCGACTGCTAGTTACATTTTTGTAGTTAATTCGTTTCCAAATAACATTGGATCTGTTATAGTAAGTATATTCTATAATGAATCAGCTTAATAACCTCTAGAGGAATCGTTTTAATCTCATTTTAACAAATAATCAAAAGTTGTTGTTTATTCTTTATACGTAAGCAGCTAAATAGATTTCCTTAATTTTCACAGGTTTTTTAAAGAAATACTTCAAATATATTACTGTAGAGCAGTGGTTCTCAACCTTTTTGTCGCGACGGAACACTTTTAATTACCGAAAAAAAATTGCGGAACACCAAAGCAATAACATGCATATATATAAACAAATTAGGATTAGCACATAAATTCTGTAATAAACTTTATTATACGTACTCAAATTTGTAAAATTTTACTTAAAATATGAAAACAAAAAACATTTTTAAAATTAACACAAGCGTAATTCTCAAAATACATCATATGAGTAAATACTTCAAATTAGTGAGACACTTGTGCCCGGTGTCGTTTGCAAATTTGCTCAATATCAGGCCTGATGTGGGAAAGAGCTACTCTCATTTCTTGTTCTAAGTTTAGCAGCCTTTCCCGTTTCTTATTTTTAATGTTTGTTAAAGATGAGAACCCAAATTCACATAAATAGGACGTTGAAAACTGTATTAAAATACTAATCGCTTTTTTGGCAAGAAGTGGATATTCCTCTTGGACCAAGATCCAAAATTCCTGAACGTTCACTTCTGAAAACTTAATTTTCAGAGTACGATCAGATGACAACGAAATAAATTCTTCTTCTTGGTTCAGAGAAAACTGTAAATTGGCTGTATTACTTGTGCTAAAAGGACTTCTTATCCAGTCATATTTTTCTACGTTCAGAGATGGAAAATACCTGGCAATTGTCTCCTCTAATAGTGATAAGTGTTCTGTAACTATATGCGTGATTTCTTGTTCTTTATCGTCATCACCTTCATTCTGAAGCAGTGGAAACATATCCATTTTATTTGTCTCTAAAATGCGCTTCTTCCAAAATGACAATTTTTTCTGGAAAGCTGACAGCTTGTCCGTGGATGTTAAAATATTTTAATTTTTGCCTTGTATACTTGAGTTAACGACATTTAAATAATTAAAAATATCGGCCAAATGTACCACTTTAGTGCACCATGCATCATTTTCAAAATATGTGGTAAATGTGTCATTACCTTCTTCTTGGAAAAAAGTTAACAGCTCCGTTCTAAGTTCATAAATTCGACATAATACTGTGCCCCTTGACAACCATCTAACTTCGGTATGCAGCAACAAACATTCATACTTTGATTCTATTGAGATGCAGAGTTGTTTAAAAAGACGGGTTTTTAGTGGTCTTGATTTGATGTAATTCACGACATTAACGACTTGGTCTAATACAGATTACAAAGTAACTGGTAGCGTTTTTGAAATTAGAGATTCTCTATGCAAGAAACAGTGCGTTGATATGATATTTTCATTTCGCTTTTTTTGCAAGGGTACAAAAACCTTTTATGGAGTCTACCATGGAAGGGGCACCATCCGTACAAATTCCTACGCAAAAGTCCCATGATATATTTTTTTTCTCTAAATATGACGTTATGGAATCAAATACATCCTGACCTGTTGTACGTGCTGTAAGTTCTCTGCAGCATAAAAACTGATTGACTATTTCACCTTCGTCGACAAATCGAATAAATCCTAATAAATGAGCTTTGCCACTAATATCAGTGGATTCGTCCACCTGCAATGCGAAGTTTTTTTGTAAAGTTTATTTTGTAACTTTTTCCTCAATATCTGCAGATAAATCAACAATCCTCCTTCTTATTGTATATTCCGACATAGGAATTTTCCGTATTCCGTTTTGTGCATCGTTGCCAAACATAATTTTGACCATCTCACAACATGCTGGTAATATAAGAGATTCTGCAGCAGTGTGTAGTTTCTGTTTCAAAGCAATTAATTCGGCGACCTTGTATGAAGCTATTTCTGCTTTGTCAGAAATTGTTAGCGACCAAATTGTTTCGCTTGTTTAGCTTGTGTCTCCAAAAGTCGCTTGAAATATTTTTTATTTTTTGAAGCTACACTAGCGTGTTTGGTAGTAAAATGGCGTTTTAATTTAGCCGGAGCCATTGCGCTATTAGCGAGTGTCTGCCCACAAACAATAGACTTGGGAATTGGACAGTCTTCTTCCCCAGTCCAAATGAAGCCATAATCCAAATATTTATCCAAATATTGCCGGTTCAACATTTTTTTGCTGCGCTTCGATTTGTCATCAACCCCACTTCGTAAAGTTCCAGTATCTCCGCTGGTGCTCGCTTCATCATCATTAATTATGAGTTGTTCCACAGTAGTTTTTCTTTTAAGTTTGAGGAACTTATCCATTTTAATTTATTCGTCTCTAAACAAAATAATGCGGATGAATGCTTCACATTTTGTATAAAATATGCAATTACTTACCTTTGATAGATAAGCCGTACGTAAAAGTTATCATAAAAAAACTGACACAGCGATTTTCACGTATTACGTTTGTGCAATGTAACCAAATTCAACATTCAGTTGCAGACTGTGGCGTGGGTGACTCAGATTGGCTGTGGCCACTGCGGAGCTCAGCGCTCAGCGCTTATAAAATCCAACGTGTGCACTGTGCCGACGCGGTGTTGTCACGTTGGGCAAATGAACATTTACGCTGCAGAATTTTATTAAATTAAAATGTACGTAAATGGCTATTTTAAAATTTGAAAATATTTATTTGAAAAGAGTAATTTAGCAAAATGGTATGCAGGATTGCGAGTATTTCGCGGAACACTTGGAAGGAATTCGCGGAACACTAGTGTTCCGCGGAACACCGGTTGAGAACCACTGCTGTAGAGAGTCACCAGATAAATTGAAAAATAAATAAAAAAAATTGAGCTTGCTTAGCAGTAACTCGGCTTTTTATATTTTTTTCCATTTTGTAATATTCGAAGTTTATAATATTCTAATGATACTGAATATATTTTGACGTTTTACTCGTTTTTTATATTACTATTATTTTTTACTATTATTATATTACTATTAATATTATTACTTTATTTTATATTTTGGTACTGTAGTATAGTATAGTATAGTAGGTAGGGGAGCACGGCGCACAATGCAACACAAATTTGTTTTATTTTTTTTTTGTTTTTTCATGTAGGTATATTATTTTGAAACGTATTTTAACAGACTTATAATAGCATCAAAAACCTTATTATTAACTATTTTGAGTAATAACCAATACAAATTTTAAAAAAATGTTTTATTGTGCCCCACCACTGGGGTATAACGTAACATATTTAAAAACGACCAAGTTGTACAATAAACCAATAAGATTTCTTTAGAAGTATGCCCAATAAAAGTTCCATGCTATAGTTTTATGCCAATAACAAATAAATAATATAAAATTAAAGTAAAAATAATTCAAACATTGAATATAGTAGTTAGCCAATATTTAAATTAGTGAAGTCGATTCCGAAAGAAATAAATTGTTTTTGGCGTTGAGTTGATCCCGCAAAAACCGGGTTCTCCAAAATCATCCTAATGCTATTCACTGCAACTATTGATACATCTGGAACTGGTATCTCTACAAAGGTGTTATATTCTTTTTTTTTTTTCTGAAAAACTTCACTTCGAAATCTCCGCTCGTATTCTTTTCTTTCGTAACAAGTCCAACATATATCTTACTATTATGGCTGTTTAATTTATATTCCACCAGTATATAATCATGTTTAATGGGTAACCTATCCAGATGTATGAATTTGTCTTCATTAAGAATGAAAATGTCTTCAATGGCGTCATCAGTCTCAATATAATTGACTACATCTTCTTCTTCAGATGAAGACTGAACCTCTTCGATTTTTTTTTGGATTTCTTCCTTAATAAAATGTGCTATTTTCCGTTGACCATTTCTCTTTTTTGCTATGGATACCGCCGTTTTATTGGCAATTGCAGTCATTTCTGAGGTACTGGGTGCTATCATTTGTTCCTCTTACTGTTTCTATTGTTTTTCCTACTTCCTGCCTTGGGAAATCCTCTAAAATCTTTAGGTCAGCATAAATTTTATTTTACATTACTGATGATAGTAGAAGTGTTGGGGTATTGAGAGTTGTTATTGAAACTTGAGGAATTGGCATCTGCATCGTTTTCCATTGTTGACTTGTTGATTTTCTCAGCAGGAGCATTACCTGATGGTGGATCCTCTTTTACCTAACAAGTAGCTGGCAAGTCCGCCATTGGTCGATCGGTAACCTAATTACATAAATAATCAGTATCGGTGAAAACATGTCTGCCATATGGGTAAATCCCTGTTTTCTTAAAAGGAGCAGTGATGTTTGATAAATTCATTCCTCTCTCGTGAGCAATCTTTACAAAACCAGCAACATTGTAAATATTTTCTGTTTGTCCAGGATGCTGCATCATCGAAATATCTATTACAGCATTGTAGTACGTTTTGTATAGCTTAAACACTCCAACGTCTAATGGTTGCAATTTATTGGTGGAATGTGGTGGAAACCTTAACATAGTCACTCCATTTTCTTTGTACAAATTAAGTGCCTCCAATGATAAATGACTTTCGTGATTATCGCATAATATCAGAGTGGGCGATTCCATGCTGCTTTTTCAGTGGTGGATGAAATGTTTAATGACTTCAACAAATAATTTAGAAATCAGCCTGATGGATTTGCCAAACCGAGAGTACCAGTGAGGGCTTCCTGCATCATGTGAGACTTAAAATGTACACGTGGAAATTTCATGATAAATGGGGGTGATACAGTTGCCGCTCCCCGAGATGAAACAACAGGTTGTCACATTATTACCCTTCTCAGCACTAGTGCACTTGCTAAGTTGTTTAGCTCCTTTTGCGGCAAGTATTTTTTGAGACTTCTGAACTGTGCAGGTGCCTGTTTCGTCCAAATTAAATACTCGTATTCCATCTGCAAAGTAAGGATTTTTCTACACTGGTTGCAAATTGTCATAAATACTTCTACATTTGCATATATGAATGAAGTAGCTGGTGACAAACGACATCCCTGAGGCGCTCTTTGACTGCGCGATGGATTTTTTTTTTTTCAAAAACCCATAGAATCAATCTTATCCATCCCATTTTGTCCACTTAAAGAACATAAAACATTTTGGAATATGTTAGCAAATACTCTCTCAGTTTATTTTCTTGTTCTACATTCAACACTTGTCGGACATTGTAGTGCAGAACACACTTTAAATTTATGCCACAATCATTGTCTTTTTTCTTTTTCACATACCTAGATAATGTTACGTAGTTTACATTTTTTAATTCTGCTGCCAGTCTGATGAAGTCGCCTTGACAAACGAGCTCTACTGCATCTTTCATGTCAGTCTCGAGCAACAAACCTTTATTGGTTTTTCTGTGATGATTTCGAATCATACTGGAACAAAAATAAAAATATTTGTTTGATTAAATATTAATGAGGCACCTTGAAACGTTTCAAAGTGCCCCGTCAAGTTATGTGTCATTGTACCCCAAACATCCATATTTTCTAGTTTATGCCAAATTCACAAATGTCCACACGTAAAAATTTAGTTTTGTCACATAGAAACACAATTTCCTCAGCCGCGTCCAAACTACAACTAAGATTATAACGCAACAAAGATGACTAGTTCTGGCTGGTGTCGACCGAAGCGCCACTGACAGTTAACAGCACCGAACAACGTTGTTCGGTGGTAACAGGTTCTCATTTACCCGCCAGAATTTGAAATACGAACAATTATTCAAGGTGCCCCGTATTTCAACGTAACGCGTGCTTCTCTATATACATATAACTATAAGTCCAATATAAATACATCAAAATAACATTGTATAATTTCTATTTTTATTGTTCATCAAACAATTATATTTTAGGGCATTTTAGAAACTTTCGTAGGACTGGGAATGAGTACTGGTCCTGCAGTAGGCGGCATATTATATTCGGTATGTACCAAAAGTCTATTATCGATATACTACAATTAAAAAAAAGAATATGTGATAAATTATTACTTTTTGTAACACATAATTGATAATTATTAAAAAGGATGTATCTTTTACATTACTTTCTAGACAGCTCGGTGGATTTAGTGTGCCATTTTACGTTTTGGGAGTAGCAATGGTTTTCATAGGTTTAATCAACTTATTGCTGTTACCAAACGTTGAAGGTAAGAAACTCAATTTTTAAATTACACTTTTATGTACTAATATTAGTAATATTTCTTTTCAATCTTCTTATATTGTTATATCCTAATTGGACCTTGGCATGGTCGGTCCCAAGCCCGGATGAGAAATGAGACGGGTAAAAGATTCGTAGGTTATTGATCCGTACCCCTTAATTTTAAAGCGTACGAAAATTTTAGGAATAACGCACATGTTAAGAATAATGATAAGCAAGAAGATAAAAATGACCAGTTATTCGAAGATCTAGTTCAAATATTCTGAAACTGTTCCAGAAATTACATTAAAATGGTGCTAGCTGACGTAGTCATTTAAATTAAAATCGTGTTAGCAATAAACCAACGGATAAAAAAATTAACGATTAAGACCAAAAAAATAATAAAGACACATACTGAACCACAACAAAAGAAATTATAAGATAAAATAGGAATACAACCGTATGCATAGAAAAACCAGCGGTTTGCTAATAAATGAAACCAGAGAAAAAAAAGAATCGTGCCAAAAAATGCTTGATGTACTGGAACCACAGTTAAGTATTGCCAAATGAGAAAAGAGGATGAAGAATACATAAAAAAATAAAAGGAACCACTTCAGCAACGAACTTAAATACATAGAAAGCCTTAATAGAGAGATACAATTCAAAACGTTCTATAAGAAAGTTCACACTAACAGAAAAGAATACAACGCATCGACGAACCAATGCGGAAGCCTGAGTGGAGAAATTTTGAAGACAAAAGATATAAGGTAAACGAAACAGACGAAATGTATTAGAGATAGAAAACATATCAATGATTCTTGAAGTTAAAGAAGCAGTTAAAAAACTAAGCAGAAAAAAATCACCTCGAATAGATAGGGTAAGGAGGGAGAATGGCATTTACTTAAGAAAAACATGGTGTATTTTCTTAAATGTTTATTATAAATCAAAATTTAAAAAGGTAATAAAATCTTTAATTATCGAGTAAACAACACCGCATCAATTAAAATAGGTGGCAAACTTAGTGAGAAATTCAACACTACGAAAGGGCTACGAGATGTTGTTTATCACCTACGCTGTTTAAAATATATCTGGATCGATCTCTACAAAAGTGGCAAAGACAATGCAGAAATATGGGAATACAAATAGACGAGGATATTCTCTATACACTATTCTTCGCTGATGACCAACTGGTGGTAGCAGAAGATATATACGATCTCAGCTATATGGTTAAGAAACTACAAACAGCGTACGAAGAATGTGGACTGACAATGAACTTACAAAAATGCGAATATCTCTCAGTGGGGAAAAATACAGTCGAAGACCTGACATTGGAGATAGAGTAAAATACCTAGGAGTAGTGTTTACAAAAGACGGAAATAGCCATGAAGAAATAAACACAAGAATAAACAAAGGCAGAAACATTACCAAATGCCTAAACTCCATTCTCTGGGATAAAAAAATCACAAGAACGACGAAAAAAACGAATAATATAAGACGATGGTTGAGCCGGTGGTAACATACGGAGCAGAGATATGGGACACTAGTAAAAGAAACAGGAAAAAATTACAAGCTACCGAGATGGATTTTATGAGAAGAAGCTGTAGATTGACAAGGATGGACAGAATCCGCAATGAAGAAATAAAACGTAGAATGGAGCAAGAAAAAGTCATTATAGATGAAATCCAGAAAAAAACAACTAACTTGGTTCAGTCGTGTAAACAGAATTGCAGACGAGAGGTGGCCAAAGAAAATATTAAAATGGATCCCAACCGAAAGAAGGAAAAGAGGGCGTCCAAGAAGAAGCTGGCGAGATGACGTAAATGAAGCCATGGAAGAAAGACAGCTAAATGAAGCCGACACCCGAGATAGGAAACGATGGAAACTAGGGACAGGAAAACAACGACAGTTGTAAACAACCTGTACTATATATATAATTATCGAGTAAACAACAATTTAACAAGAAAAGCATACATTTTTTAGCAGTAGTAAAATGTTATAAAAAAACAATATTTGAGCGGCATTACCCTTGACTTTGGGTAATGCCGCTCAGGGTATAAGGTAATGACGTTCAAACATATTTTTGTTATTTTTGGATACATAAGTCACATATATATCCATCTGTTTAATTTCATGGTGAACATTTCACCTTAAGAGAGTCATAGTTACGACCACACCAGAGGAGACGTGGGGTAAAGTACGAAGACCCCCAAACACTTGTGACCCATTTAGCTCTGATTCGGTAGGTTAGGCGTATAAAGGGTACGGCCAGTATCCGAAGGGAAGTCTATTCTATTATGGCACAACCAATGGCTCTGCGAGTCCGTCTTCAGATGAGGGTGACACCCGTGTCTACCCGTGATCCCTGTGAAGGCAAACAAGTGCATGCTGATGGAATAACCGACCACCAAGCACGATTGACAAGTATGTCTTCAAGCATGTCCTACAAGCAAACGTTCACACTGGGTCTGATCGTATTGAACTTGCAAAACCCCCTGCAGAGGTTATTTGGAATGAAAGCAGAATGGTTCCACTTGAGGTCGTCTCAAATACTAGGAACTCAACCCCTTGATCAGTGTGACTTTCAGTCGCCTCCATATTAACTACCGACACCTCAAACAATATGGCCAAGTTACTGTTCCTACGTACGGGACGTAAGTACTAGTTCGTGCACTGTGCTCGTTGCTGTGATCCCATTGGTCTCCTCTTAAGACTGATAGGGACCACCACCTTAGCAGTATTCGTTTCGTCCGATCACTCGAATGAAGCTACTAGAACTCGGCCCGCCACTAGACTGCTGTAATACCAGTTTCGTCAGCACTGTAAATTTTCTTGTCTCTATGTTCAAATTTTATGTGTTTTCTACCTTTTTATACGGAGTAGAGGCTTGGACCCTTTCTGGATGAACTAGGTCCCTTTCTGGATGAAAGAATGTTAATCACGAACGGCATAGGCATACTAAGAAAAAGACTGGTTTTCTTGTTTGGAAAGAATTTGAATTTATAATTATCTCTGCTTTAAAAATGGAAATAATTTCCCCCGTTTCTAAAAATTATTTTTATTTAATTATATTAATATTGGTTATAAGTTTCATCTTTGTAGTTGAAAATATTTCTTTTAAACAAAATTGTAACTTCCTAAGAACTCAATATATCACCAATTGGGTTCATAGGAAACCGAAATAGAAATAAAAAATTAGAAATTTATAAAATGTATTTTTAATCTTTTTTAGACTGTGATAGTATGACAAATAAAACAACATCTATGATGAAACTAATTAAAATTCCAGCTGTAATTGTGACTGGTCTTGTTGTTACTGTGGTATCCAGCGTTTGGGCGTTTTTGGAACCAACTTTAGAGCCACATTTAAGAGATGTAAGTGATTCATTTTTGGTTAACTTTCATTATATGAACTTTATACTAGATTACTTAGAATTGTACACAGAGTAACACATTTGGAATCAGTTACGAATACGGTTTAGGCTGAGGTCTCTACAACATAATATTTGTTTCATATTAGTGAATGCACTTCTAGTCTTTTTTATTCTAACTCTAATTTCTTTGGTATAATCGTTTGTTTCATTAATTCTTCTTCTTCTTCTAGTTCCTATCCGTTTCGGATGTTGGAAATCATATTGGCAATCACAACCTTGCTCGCTGCGGCTTGAAACAGCTCCGTTAAGGTTTTCTTAAACCATGTTCTTAAATTCCGCAGCCATGATATTCTCCTTCTACCGGGTCCTCGCTTACCTTTGACTTTACCTTGCAATATAGACTGTAGCAAAGAGTAACGGTGCTGATTTCTCATAACGTGTCCCAGATATTGCAATTTTATGCGTTTGATCGTAAACACAATCTCTGGTTCCTTCTTCATTTTTCCTAGAACTTCCTTGTTCGTGATCCTTGCTGTCCATGATATTCTCAGCATTCTTCTATAAAGCCACATCTCAAATGCTTCAAGTTTTTTAATAGTGGCGTCTGTAAGCGTCCATGCCTCCGCCCCGTACAACAACACAGAGAAAACATAGCATCTCAAATGTCTCATTTTTGTATCAAGGAATATGTTGTGACTTTTTAAGATGGCGCTTATTTTGTTAAAGACCGTTCTTGCCTTTCCTATGCGGCACTTTATTTCCTGTAAATTGCTCCACTGTTCGTTAATAATAGTTCCCAGGTAACAATACTGTTTTACTCGCTCTATCTGCGTCCCATTAATGTATATATGAGCCCCATTTATATTCTCCTTGCTGATAATCATTTGTTTCGTTTTGTGGGTATTAATGTTTAGTCCGTACTGTTGACTGTACTCGTTTATTCTATCCATTAGCCTCTGAAGTCCCTCTAAACGATCTGCTATCACCATGGTGTCGTCGGCATATCTAACATTGTTTACTCTTTCACCATTTAGAAGGATGCCTTCGTCTATTCCGTAAAGAGCCTCGTTAAAAAATTTTCTCTGAATATATATTAAATATCAACGGCGATAGGATACATCCCTGTCTAACTCCACGTAGTATTTTTATGTGATCTGTTTCTTCTCCGTTAATTTTCATGTATGCGGTCTGATTCCAGTAGAGTTCTGAAATTATTCTGAGGTCTTTGTCATCCAGGTCTGCCTCTTTTAAAATTTTTATCATCTTTTGATGTTGAACTCTGTCAAATGCCTTTTCGTAGTCGATCAAGCACGCGTATACGTCGCAGTTAACGTCCCTGCATCTTTGAATCAGTACCTGTACTCCAAAAAGTGCCTCTCTGGTACCCACTGCGTTAATGAAGCCGAACTGTCTGTCCGATATTTGTTCCTCGCACTTCTTATAAATTCTTCCATGGATGACTCTAAGAAACAGTTTCAACATGTGGCTCATTAGGCTGATTGTTCGATATTCTTCGCACTTTTTAGCCCCCTGTTTTTTAGGTATCGCTATGAATTCTGATTCTAGCCATTTATCAGGGATGATTCCTGTATTGTAAATTTTATTGAAGACAGCTGTGATCCAAATTATTCCTTCTTCCTCCAAGAGTTTTAAAAATTCAGCTTCGATATTACCAGGCCCTACAGCTTTCCTGCTTTTCATCCGTTTTATTGCGTCTTCTACCTCGGATTTAAGTATCTCCGGGCCCGTCATCCTCTCTGAAAATGGATGCATATAATCCGTTCTTTGATCTGGAAAAAGTGTCTCCAAATATATTCTCCATCTGTCTTTCATCTCTTGGGTGTCAATGATTAATTTTCCATTGGTGTTTCATTAATATTTGCCCCTAAATAGTTATATTTCTGAACTCGTTCTATCGTCTTATTATTTACGTGTATCTATCTATCTATCGATGTATCTAATATTTTTCTTTGATACAACCATGAATTTTGTTTTCTTTATGTCTAGTGACAGACCAAATTCGTCACTCGCTGCAACGACCTTATCTAAAATTCTTTGTAGATCTGTAATATTTTCTGCTATTAGTATTGCCTCGTCAGCATATCTAATTTCACGTATCGGTAGGACATTTATTTTTATGCCTGCTACTTCATTTTGCAAGGGTTTTCTAGAAACGCACAAAAAATATCTTAGTTTCAAAAATAAAGGCTGCCTTTAGTTTAGTATTAAAAATGGCTATTAAAATTACAAAACAATTAGAGTTATGTAAAAAGTTACGATACAACTATAAGTAAAAGTTTTTTGTTTTAACACCATGGTCAATCGGCAAATCACAGACACCTGCACCACAACTGGATCATTATATAGTCAAGTTTGTTCTGCAACCACCGCGCTCCCTAACCCGAGGTGTATGGTACAGAGAACAAAGTGTTGCCTTAAGCGATGTTACAGAGAGCTGTCGAAATCTAGGGGATCATAAGCTTAACATCGTAAGGAAGCGCAATAGATTGCTCAGAAATGGATAACTCTTCTGAGCTTATGTATAAACAAAACGATTAAATAGGCGACTACACTCGCGGGTTATTTCTTTGCCCCAAATAATGAGCCAGAAGCTATTTCGTGAGGAACGTACTCTTAAGCAAGTCATCAAGAAACGCCTTTCTGAAGCCCAGCAGGAGAGGCTTAGGAAAATGCAAAAATAGCTACTGGAATTTAGACCATAGCAAAACCACATAAAACCAATACGGTGATACCAGCAAAACCGTATGGTAAAAAGAGATCTCAGGAGAATATCTTTACCCCCACTGCAAGAGTTGCTAAAAACCAGAGGTAATGAGCAGACTAGGTTATACAAAAAGTATTTAGTATGGCGGTCGTATACCATCCTGATACTCTACTAGGTAATGCTTACGTAAACCTGATTGCTTACGCAAAAAATGAACTACTGAGGTGGTGAGGGCTATGAAGGACCTCTGAGAGGCAGCAGACTTAAATGTAGTTGATCCCAATAATATTTACGAGCGCTCCATGGTCCTTATTCATAAAAGAAGAATCTGGGAGAAGCCGAAAATCGTAGTCTACAGGATCGAAGAGGTCTTCTACATAGTATTGAGGTTTTCTCGTAACTAAGAGTATTAAAGTTTAAAGAGGTATCCTTTAAAACCACCAGATAATTCGATGGCTCCACTGAGAGTCCTGCAGGCGACTCTACAGCATGTGAAGGCGAGTTCAGCAGCACTTATTATTATTATGGGAAGGTTTAATGTGGTTATGATAGTCAAACGACATATCAAAACACTAGTGTTAATTAATCTTTGTTCCAGGATTTAATGACAGTGAGGATAAAATTCATAGAGGTAAGAAATATAAAGGAGATAATTTTGGGATCATCATACCCTCTATATGATGACCCCGAACAAGCATGACCAAGGGAGTTGGAACAGCTCGTAAAAGATTAAAAGAAAATAGTAGAAACATGAGCACTATGAAAGGACTTCATAATACAATTATTAGAAATACGGCTAGTATTACTATAGATAAAGTCACGTTCAGATGGCAGTGTACGGATATAGGATAACAGCGTTGTCAATTCTACTGCCATTGTAAGTTTTGCTACTTTTGTAAAATAAGCAGGGCCAAACTCACGGTAAACTAAGATATGTTTAGGTAAGCTAAAGTTGTTAATAGAAAATTCGTGAATGAAATAAATGGTAATAATTCCTAAAATGCTTTTATACATAATACCGCAGTTAATAGGGAAAAAAATATGAAAAATATTCTACAGGTTTTTTAATGTTCTAAACGGTAGATAAGGGATAACTGATGATAATTCCTTGAAGAATTACAGCCAATTTTGCTTTGTTTATTTTTTAAAGAAAGATGAAGTTTGAAAAAAATCATTTTTTTGCCCATTTTGTTCCTCGTGCATTTTAGGGAAAAATGTTTCAAATAAATGTTGCAGATCTTAAAAAGTTTTTAAATTTTTTAGTTTGTAAATTAAAATACATAAACAAATGACTGAGATAATTGCAAAAAACCCCTAATTGAGGCCCCTATAACACAAGGGTGTAATGCAGTTGCTTATCACTTAGCAACTGATATCTAACAACAGGCACGTACTTTTGGCTTCAAACGTTCTACATTAACAACAATAACACCATTAAAAATTACATGTCATTGAAAACATGCTGAAAACTGAAAAAGTGCTACCTAGGTTTTTAAATTTATATCGAACTTTGAACAAATGTTTTTCAAAACTTTGTTTTTGGCACTTACACCCCTTGTGTTCTAGGGGCCTCAATTGTGCACTAATTTATTAAATGTTCATAACTTGATTTTTTGCATAATGACGTCTAATATAACTACTTGAAATTATGTCGATTAATGAGTTATTTAAGTGTGCTACATTTCAACCAGATCAACTAAATATTTTATTACCTTTACTGAGAAAAGAATACCCCCGAAAAACAATTTTCAATCATCTTCATTTTCATAATCTAGTTCATCTTCAGAGTCATCGTTTAATGAAATTCTAATAGGTTCAATGTCATCTTGAATGTTGTCTACTGTCCAAGAATTATTCTCCAATTTTATAACATGGTTGACGTAATTTTTCCAATGTCCATTGTTCTGTACTTTATCATAACCTTCATAAATCAATGTTTTAACGTCGTTTTGTTTGAAACTTGAATTCTTAGAGGACTTAAAGGACGTTTCACTTCACTCCACACCATTTCTATTGGGTTCAGTTCACAGTGATAAGGCGGAAGTCTTAAGATATGTACATCTACGCGGCATTGTTCGTCACTGTGATTCCTGTATTTTTCACCAATACAATCAATTTTGTATTTGTCATAAATATTTTTAAATACATTAGCAGTTTCCAGAAGTTCATTTTTTAAGTAATCTTCTTCAAAATAAATGTCCTTTTCATAGAGCCACTCCTTAATTTGACATTTCACAAAATATTGTTTGGGAAAATTTAATTTTCTAGAGTGATAAGATGCATTGTCCAAGATAATGACATTCTTTTTATTTTTTGGGAGATTCGGTATTAACATCTCTTAAAACCATTTTTCAAATAGATCTCCGTCCATCTTTTCATGGTAATCTTCAGCACCTTTTTTGGCAAGAAAAGTGATGTCAGCACCTTCAACAAATCCGTCTTTGTTTCCTGCATGGACTAAAAGAAATCTTGGTCCTTTTCCGGTCGGAGTTTTTAAACCTATGGTAAGTCCATTTACGAAAGCCTGTCGGCTATTTTTTATTGTTGTATCTTGCCATACTTGCCCATTGGTTATTCCAGTATTAACCCATGATTCGTCCATATAAATGATATTGGCTCCTTCGTTCCTCAGTTTCTTTATTTTCCGGAGATAGTGACGCCTCCAAGCGACTATTTCTTGTTTTTCTATTAATATTGAATTTCTACCTTGTTTGCCATATATAAAACCCATGTCGTGCAATAGTCTTCTCAACGTACTCTTGGAAAAATTCGGAAGATGCTCCATTTGCTTAATTTTTTCTAGTACTACGTCAAGGGTTGGAGGAATATTGTCCATAAAAAAACCGTGCACTACTTGTCTTATTCTAGACCGAGTTGCTTCATCATATCTATTCTCACGACTATTCAAATAACCGGTTCTTTTTTTTCTTATAGGAGTTACGAGTGGACCATTTTTACTTTCACTTCTATATCGGAATATCGTTCGCTCAGAGACTCCAGTCATAGCAGAAACTTCCCGCACTATTGTTGATACACTTTTATCATTATTACTGTTTGATAAATATTTAAAAACATTTAACACTATTTTTTTGCATTCACTATTTAACAAATTACCGTTTTTGAATTTTATTACACTCGCGGCCATTTTGACACTGACACGACACAAACGTCTGATATCAACTGAAAATTCTTTTAATGACTCTCAAGTATTTACCTGAATTTATAATTGCTGGCATTAGACAATAATTTTGAATTTATAAATAGGTATATTTTTTTAATTCTAAATTATTTTTTAATGTCTGTAACTGTAAATGCAGGTAGAGAAAGTGTGTCATTAAAAGGACATTAAGATCAAAAATGGATTATACAAATAATTATTTCATTTCCACGAATTGTAAACAATTTTGAACAGAAAATATAATTCCGAAAAGACCAGATTTCCGAAATATAACTTTCTATTTTTAAAATACCAACAGAAAAATTATATAATTAAAAAAGTGTATTTTTCGGTTTCACATTCATAAATATTTCCCAAATTATAATTCTTTTATAGGAGCCGGCCCATAACGTACGATTGTAGGTACGATTAAAAACTGACAACAATGTAGTTATTTCTGGCATATAGAAAGTACAGCCCTATCTCTGTAACGTTGCCATCTGAATGTGAATTTATCTATAGATGTACTGCTCTTAGACTACTTGAAAAAAAAAACCCGGAAAGAAGTCTGAAAATCAACAGACTTGGTTTTGAGTCTATACCCCTATACGATTAACTTTATATCAAAGGAAGCACATATTAAACAGCCAAACATAGAGCAAAGATAGGAAAATTAAATTAACAATTTGACAGAAAACCAGCTGAGGCAACACGAAATAAAAAACGAGGAAGTTGCTCAAGCACTTAAAAAAAGTAAAGGAAAGATAAAACCGTTTAGCCAGATGATATTTCTGGGAAAGTGTGGTTAGATTTAGGAGCAAATTGACAATCAAGAAAATTAGGGCGGCAAATGACTATTCCATCAACAACCGGTCAACAATTTGTCGAACAAATTTTCCTTTCTATTTTTTTTATACTCTAAGATCTTACAAATATGAAACAGTTTAACAAATTGTTACAAGCTTTTTAATCTCATCTGTATTTCAGTTTAATCTAAGTCCAGAGAAAATCGGGCTTATATTTCTATTATTTTCCGCCTTATACGGAATTTCCAGTCCCGCATGGGGTTGGATAGCTGATAAAATAAATCAACCTTGGCTTATGATGGTCGCTGGATTATTTATGTGTACAGTGGGATTATTGTTACTAGGGCCTTGTCCATATATTCCTGTCTTATCTCAGTAAGTAAATATTTCAATTCAATATTAATTATTGCAGTAATAATAAAATATTAGGTATTTCGAACGTAACTAACTAGATAGAAATGTTAAACTGAATGTCAGTCGCAATTGTAAACAATTAAATTCAATGGCTACTTTCATGGAAACGATCGGTTGGAAAAAAATATAAAGGGACTATTACCGTCCAGAATGCTCTAAAAAATTGCACATTATTTTGTCTATCATAATGGCAATCAAACTTTTTTATATTATTTTACAACTTTTTAAGATTACAAATTTTTTTCTTATAATTTCTATAAAGATGACGCCAAACATTTTTCATTCAAAAATTACTGCTCTACATTGCGGACAGTTAATCTCTGAAACGGCAAAGCTAAAATATAAAATTTGAGAAGGGCTTTTAATAAGAAGCGCCCATACGTAATAGATTACCAGAAAATTCTTAACAAAACAAAAAGGCAGACATTTGAAAGAATGTTCAAAAACTGACCATTTTTTTGTCATTTCGTCACAAAAATTTTATTTTTTTTAGTCAAATTGTGGTAAACTAGCATAAAGAAAACAAAAAAAAACAAAATGCATCAAGATTTAATCAAATCGACGGACTAGATCCGGAAATTACAGTTTCCAGAAAAAATACGTTTTTAAAACTGGAGGGCAGTTAATAAGAATATCATTTAATGTCACAAGTAGAACAAATTAACTAAAATAATAAAACATCCTGTTTTGTATAAAACTTAAGAGGTTGCTGGTTAAATGATATTAGATAAATAATAATGAATAAAAAATGCAATATTTTGTTTGTAAATAAATTAGCGAAAAATAGCAAATACAACTGTGAATAAATTATGATATTAACAACTAGCCTTACTAATTATTGTTGTCTGTACAAAGAATATAGACTCACCTTTTGAAATATTGATGTCGTAAGATTCTTAGCCAGGGGAATCTCGAGAGATTTCAGGTCAGAAACCACCCTAAGGCCACACTTCGAAGAGGTTGGTAGGAAGAGGGTATACCAATAAATCACTCTATTGTATGTATTGTGATTTTGAATGCGATAATTTAAGCTAATTGTCACGGTAATACGAAACTTTACACTTGTGTGTATTAGCGACACAAAATAACAAAAGAAGTCAAATTCTCCGCACTTAAAACATAATAAATGAGATAGCCAGTTTAACAATTTTACGAAATAACAGGAAACAATATATTTTAACAAAGCCGTTAGAATACAGCATTGAATTAGATCACATTATAGTACACTGAAAGAAAAATATTAAATGTAAAAATATGAAAAGAAATAGTATATACTTTGCCAAACACATCCTATGGGATGAAATGACAAAATTTAATTGTTATTGTTAACAGTATAAAGGCTAGATACCTATGTATATCGCCGATTTGTGGTGGTATGTACCACGGCACCCTTGATTATACTTGTTAAAGCTTACAAATTAGGAAATCTTTAAATATTTTAAAAATGAAGGGAGATGGGTATAGAAATCTTTAATATAGATTGAAAGCTAAGTAAATGTTCCACACGACAGATGAATAAATATAGGGTGTTTTATTTAAAATAAGTACGTGATTACAGCTTGAATTTGCTAATACCACAATCTAATATTTTGAAGGCCCTTTTTTGGAGTACCCTGTATAATTCACATTATTTTTAAATGTGTTAATTGACCTGTATAACTCTGTGAAGAAAAAGCCTTGGATATTAAGTCGTTAATGTCCACGGAGCTGAAGTGGACCAAATCTAATTTAAATAAACAGTCTTATAAATTTAATTTTAATTTTTAATTTCTCAATGTTTTTAGAAATTTGTGGTTGGATTTGGTTGCTTTATCCATCCTAGGAATATCTGTTGCCTTGACCTTGATGCCAACATTTTTAAGAATATTAACCTCTGCCACGTAAGTTTTATATTGTTTTTATTATTATTATTATGTATTAAATAAATGCTATTAGAGAATGTGTCTCAAATATCTTAAGCAATGTCTTAAAACAAAATGAATATCTCATCTAAAAGTTGAGGGGCTTTACCAACCAGTGAATTTTTATATTTTTGTGTTTGGGACATTTTTAAATTTGAATATTTCTTGCGGTGCAGAAAACTCAGACGTTAAATGATTCGTATCTACCTTTTATGCCAAATGATGCCAATTTGATTGTTACTAAAATCAAAAGTATTGATAAGATCACCGATTTGAAGGTCCCGACAGATCACGAAGTTGAACAGCAAAAATATCAGCTTACCCTGCATCACACAAAAACCATCAGGGTTTGACTTAACACGCAACACATGGACTATGCTGATCCAAATCAGAACCTAACACGGCAGATGCGGTTACATGATGCACAAATGGAGTAAACGACCATTCCCACTATGTGAGTGTGGAGAACAGTGTCCCACAAAAGCCTATCATGGCAGGTCAAAGGATTTCCTAATGGCGACCCTATAAATTTTCTGAAAATAAAAATCCAAATGAAGTTTTATGCACTGTTTCATATTGAACACTTAATACTTTTCATTTTTAAAACAAAAAGTGGCCATTACTGTTTGATTCCTTAGCATAATGTATTTAAGTAGAAGGCTACAAAAGAAAATAGTGTAATATCGAGAGGAATTACAAACAATAAAAATTGCAAGTGAACTTGAAAAAAATTATCTAATGTCGGGTTTATGCCCTTTAAACATCAATAGTACTAAAAAACAATAAGTCAGCAAGTCCGGACAATGTACCCTGTGAAATATTAAAGATCCTATGTAAATCAGACAAACAGTTCCTTGATAATCTAGTTGTACTTTTTAACAACATATATAATAGCGGTAAAATCCCGGAGAACTGGCTACAGTCAATATTTATTACAATTCCGAAGAAACCAAATGCCCAGATTTGTGATGACTACCGGCTTATAAGCTTGATCAATCATGTCACTAAAGCGTTCACTAAGATCATTCACAGAAGAATATATGATAAATGTGAGTCAAATATTGATAGATCGCAGTTTGGTTTTCGGAAAGCACTTGGAACTAGAGAAGCAATTTTCGCTCTCCAGGTGCTTATACAACGGTGTAGAGACGTTGATAAAGACTTGTATCTGTGCTTTGTAGATTTTAGAAAAGCATTTGACAATGTCAATCATGAACAATTGATAGGTATTCTGCGAAAGACAGGTATTGACGACAAGTACATTCGAATTGTGGCAAACCTATACTGGGGTCAAACAGCAAGAGCAAAAATTGGCAACGAACTCACTGAAAGCGTGCAGATCAAAAGAGGTGTCCATCAGGGGTGTATATTATCCCCACTCCTATTCAATATATATTCCGAGGAAATATTTAACAAATGTATGGGAAATGCAAATGAGGGCATTAAAGTAAACGGCGAGTTAACGAACAATATAAGATACGCCGACGACACGGTGATCCTTGCCAGTACCATAGACGAATTACAACAAGTAATGGAAAGACTTTATTCAGTTAGTGAGGAATACGGCCTGAGCCTCAACTTCAAGAAGACAAAGTGGATGCTGATAAGCAAAAAGCAACAACCTGCTCGACAATTACGGATAAGTTACATATTAATTGACCATGTAGAATCTTATGTGTACCTTGGCACCAACGTAAATGCAAAATGGAAACAGACCATAGAAATTAAGGCGAGAATAGAACGAGCTAGAGCAGCATTTAGCAATATGAAAAAGCTCCTCATAAGCAAGGATTTGTCTCTTCCCCTAAAACTACGTATGCTACATTTTTCCGATCTTGCTGTATGGCGTGGAAGCCTGGACGCTGACGGAGACGCTAACGAGAAAACTAGAAGCATTCGAAATGTGGGTGTACCGACGCATTCTTCGTATATCCTGGGCCGAACATGTCACCAACATAGAGGTACTCCAAAGAATCGGAAAGGAGAAAGAAATCGTGAATACAATTAAACAAAGAAAGCTTGAATATCTAGGCCACATATTGAGACATGATAAGTACCGTCTGCTACAATTGATTGTCCAGGCAAAAATAGACAGTAAGCGAGGGCCAGGCAGGAGAAGACACTCGTGGCCCCAAAATCTGCGGAAGTGGTTCAGGCTCACATCGGTCGAACTATTCAGAAGCGCCGCAAACAAGATCAAAATTGCCATGTTAATAGCCAACGTTCGCAACGGACAGGGCACTTGAAGAAGAAGAAGAAACATCAATAATCGTTTGCATATTATTTGGAAGGGACAGGAACAACTTTTAAATAAAATCTTGGGAAATACGTTCATATTTTTCATGAAGCATGTTTTGAAGTTCTGCAAGACTCTCTGGCTGGCCTGGTTGACTTTTAACCCTACGATGAAGTTCACCCCAAAGGTGTTTGATGATATTCAGATCAGAGTTGCAGGCTGGACATTCTAGAGTATTAATTTCTACTTCCCCCAAGTATCTTCTTTGAGTATGTGTAATGACGAAATTGTCTCCAATAAATGGACCAAATGGGACTACTGCTTCTGCCAAAACATTCTCTATATCCCGGTAAGCATTCAGAGCACCATTGATGAAATAAGTTCAGTTTCAGCTTCAAATGAGATTTCAGCCCAAACCATGAGACCATCACCGACAAACTTTCTTCTCTGGGACATACAAGTTTGGACATATCTTTGATTATCCTTGACAATCCTGTATTATCCAATGTTGATGTCGTCGAGCAAAAATTAATCGATTCCTACAGTGTCTGGGTTGTAATTCTGGAACAATAGCTGGCATTGTTGCCATTAGTCCTCTTTCATTAAGGCGTCTTCTAACCGTTCTCTTACTTACATTCACATTTCGAACCTCCTGCTAACAGTTTCTTGCAGCAATTTCAGTGTAATGGCGATTTGTTTTAAAAGTTTCATCATAATAAAACGATCGAAGATAAGTTTTCTTCTATCGAAACCAGGTCGACGTGAGTATGTACCAGTCTCTATAAAACGGTGAAAAGCTCTCTGTACTCTAGTTATTGGGATAGCTAAAGATTAGAATACATAAATTTGACTTCTTTCTTCTTGTAGCAATGCATTAATTAGAGCCACATCTACAATAGATAACACCATATTTTAATTATTCACTTAGTCAAAATCTACGTTTGAGAAGCAAAATGACTGTTTAGCAATACATGATCGCAATAAACATTTAAATTAAGACGCAATATAAAACAGTGCATAAAACTTCCAATGAATTTTTATTTTTGGAAATTTATAGGGTGGTCACTTTTTTGCCGTTCAGTGTATAATGATCTGAAAGCAAATATGTTAAATCTCTGCCTTGAAGTCATAAATATTCACAACAAACAACACCAAACTACAACCTTCACGATATCTACATAAGAGATTATTCTTTGGAATAATACTCTACATGTCATTAGCTTCATTGTCAGGAAAAACGCTTATTGCCTAATAGGCAGATTGCATATCTCTCTAGGAGTTAATAAAAAAAATTAATATTTGTCTTCTACAATAACCTTGGTCTAAGAAACTTTAACTTTCAAATCTTATATACTAAAACGCTAAGCCCTTTTCTTGTCCACCACTTTACTCAAAAACCATATTTGATAATTAAAATATTTTTTCGGAATATCATTAGTATTACGTATTACGAGATTGTCAAGATATACTTTTGGTACAAAAATTCACTTCCGGTTTTGAGATGACCGGAAGTTAAAATTGACTTTAAGTTTTAGACCCCACAATGTATATATGGATCGAAAGGTCTCGTCGAGACGAATCTAAATATGTACTTCCGGTTGCAATCCGACACCGGAAGTGACCCGAAACGCGCATAAAACGTCAAGATAGAGCAAATCTGACACCGGATTCGTGATCAGCATGCAAAATTAACTGCTAAATGATATCCATGTCGACATTTGATGAACTAAAAATTGCATTCTGGTTTTGAGGTCCACTTCCAGTTTCGTTTTTATTAAAAAGTAAAAAGTAAAAGTTTCAGAAAATGGAGACATTGTAACAAAAAACATTGTTTTCGACGAAATATTTCGTGATATTTAATACACTTTTTACTTGCATTATTATTGATGAATGTTATGTATATTCTTGCTTATATTGTTTGTATTAATCTCTTAATTTTTCTCGCAAAATAAAAATTTTATTTAAAAAACTCGATGTCGAGTTGGTCCGCTAGTTACTAGTATTAATCAAATTACTCGTATTTTCAAGTGCAATAAACATTCATTAACTTTAGATTTTATTTTTTAGAAAGGCAGGCTATTCAGACTCTCTGGTAACTTACAGCGTTGTAGCTGGTGTTTGGTCATGTATGTATTCTTTGGGAGAAGTTCTCGGACCAGCTCTTGGTGGTTTTTTAATGGGTCGCTACGGATTTCCAATGGCCTCTACTGTAATGGCCACTGTTATATTTTCTTTAGTAAGTAAAAACTATCAAGGACTATAAATTGAATTGTAAAATTCTCTTTCATCTGTAAATGTTTTTTAATTGTGTTTCTTTCAATTACTATGAAAAATCTAATTATACAAAATGTATATACACTTTAAATTAAAACAAAATCTTAATACTCGCTTCTTATTCATTTATCTGGGATTTATGAAATTATAATTTAACTAAAGATAAATATTATTAATACATAAAATGTAGGCGAGGCAATGAAATAGTGAAAAGCCCAAAACCTACCAAATTTTTTCAGTAGGATGGATCTCAATGAAACTTTTTGCATTGAATTCGTATGAGTTTCAGAAAATTTTGTGAAAAACAAATTGATAATGTGAAAATGAAAATTGCCTTATTGAACAAGGAAAATACATTTTCCAAAGTATATTTCGAAGGTATGAAAAATGTTAAATTTTTAATTCGGAAAAAATTGACAGCATGTAGTACTCTGGGGTTTTTCTTCTTAGGGTGCCTATCCATTCCGAACGTTGCAACATTCTGGCTATGATGACTTTGTTGGTTGCTATACGGAATAGCTGTGTTGAGGTCATTTTATACCATACACTCAGGTAAGCAAGCTGGGATATTCTTCTTCGTACTGCTTCTTCTTTTCTTCAATTTTACTTTGCAAAATACATTGGAGTAGCTCGTATCTGCCTTGATTTCTCATTATGTGTTCCAAGTACTACAGCTTACGGCCATTCACGATGTTGACCAAATCTGCGGTTGTGTTCATCCTCCGCAGTACTTATTCACTAGTGACTTTGCCTGTCCATGGTATCAGCGCTGATTGATCCCAATACAGGTTAGCTATTATTTTTAAGTCTCTTCCGTCGATCCCTGTCCTCTTCGGCACTTCCATTATTTGTTCATGCTTGACTCTATCGAAAGCCTTCTTGTAGTTAATAAGGCATGCAAAAACATTACATCTCTAAATTTCTGAAACAATACCTGCGCGCTAAATAAAGCTTTCCTTGTACCAACGGCGTTCATAAATCCAAACTGATTAAGCGCAATTTGTTCCTCGCATTTCCGGTAAATTCTTTTGTGGATAACTTTTAAAAACAGCTTCAGCAGTTGGCTCATTAGGCTTATGGTCCTTTAGTCTTCACAAATTTTTGCTCCTTATTTTTTGGTCTAATGGTATTTTTCCTGCCTTGTATATTTCATTAAATATTTCAGTTATTATTTTTATTTGTTCTGCATCTAATAGCTCCAGCAGTTCTGCAGGTCCATCAAGCAGTTTCATTAAGTCCCGGTGCCTTTCCATCCTTCATTTGTCTGACGGATGCCGTTATTTTTTCTGGTAGGGTTTCGGGACCTGAATTTTCTTCAATGTTATGCTCTTATATTGTTCTAAGGTCATGGAAAAGTTTCTCCAAGTATTCTTCCCATACTTTATTTTTATCTTCTTTGGTTATGGCAAGATTCCTTTCATCATTTGTTATTTTTCCGCTGTTGCCTTTTCGGAACTTTCCAGCTATTTCCTTCACCTTTCGATGAACATTCCAAATGGATTAAGAAATTTTCTGATGTCGAGTTTTCACATGACATTCTTAAGTTGTCATTTCAAATTTCAAATTTGGTCTTTAACCTTAATTGCAGGAGTACCTATTCCATTAGTAGAATCTTAGCTGATGTTGAGAATATTTTGTCGTTTTCAGACAATTCTGACTTTCTTCATTTTAGGTTAGGTCTTCAACAACATTTTGTTGAATTTCACACATCTTCCTCGTCAAGCACTTTCTGAGATAGATAAGATTTCACAGGGAAACGGTATCGTTTTTAAAAACCCACCCTAGTATTTGAGTTCTATCTAGTGATAAAAGTGTTGTTACTGTCTTAATGGATACAGATTAATGTGTCACGTATATAAATTAACAAACGAAATGTCTTTATAAAAGAATAAAGTAGCCGATTTTATCGATTTAAGGCTGTTTTATTGGTACACCAAAACCTAGAGACAGTGTTTTCTGTTATTTACCGGAAAAAGTCTCGAAATTTGGACACGTTATTCAAAATTATGTTGCTTTAAAACTGATGGTTTTACTTTTTTAATTTTTTTGAAAGTTCTTTTGAAATATCGGATTATGCAGTTTAACGTTCTATTATAACCAAACTTCTTACGTCCATCACTTGAAAGAGTTTTTTTTCTGTAATCGTTGATTTTTTTTCACCTTTCTGTTTCCAGGAATAATCGAGAAAAGCGTGTTCACACTTTGAAGAAAATTGCTAAAAAAATACTGAAATCTAATAGTGAAACGTGTTACTCATGTTGTAACTTAATTGTTGGTAACTGTTGGCACTTAATTTTATCGTTATCGCCTTCGTGATGTCAAATCTCATGAACGTACGCTCAGTTAATTCGATTTAAAATCATTTTCAAGCTATAACTGCGAAATTGTTTATTTGTTTGTGACAACAAATTGTATTTTTTTTGTAATAATATTTTTATGTTATTTTAAATTTATTATAAATAAACACCATTTTTTGCAGTCACGTTTCACAAATTTTTATTTAATATTATATTTAGCTAAGACATGAATTAAAAATGTGATAATTCTTTTTAAAACATATACGATAATCAATCAAATAAGGTATTCCAGACAAAACTAATTTGAATGGAGAATAATGCATTTGTTGTCATGAAACTACCCGTCGGCCGGCGCCACTGTACCCTTTGGCTGGCGTCAGCAGTGTAGAAAAGTAAGTGATACGCCCATTTCAAATCGCAGTGTGATTTGACTGCTAAAACAACCTTAACTTCGAAGTGTACAAGAGATATCAAGAAATAGCACAGGGAAACACGGCGCAATTTTCTTTATAAAAGTAGGTAGGCTAAGAAAGGCAGAACTCTTTCTTCAGAAGAGTAATTAAAAACATTTTTTTAGATGAACCTTACTGTCTACTGTATTAGCTTATAAAAAAATAGAAATATTGGTAAGTCAAGTCAAGGGGTGGAGTACCATGCTTAGAAATAACGTCTTCGATGAAAGGAAAGCTCCTTCTAACTAACAAAATGAGAATGAGAAACAAAATGTTTAAAAAGGGATTTGAGTTATCTGTCACGATATTTAATGAGTAAAGCAGGTGGATAACAATTTTTCATAAACGGCAACTGAATTTTTGAAATTAATAAAAATTTTAGGTGCTTATTCAGCTACTTTCTTATAAAAGTACCTATTTAATTGATCTAAAATAATTTTTAATTTACTTTTAGGCAATATTCACCACCATATTTTTCATTTTAAATTCGACAGTATGTAAGGAAGCAGAAAGTACGTCGGATAGTGGAATAAGCGCATCGTGGAGAAGTTCTAATATATCTATGTCCAATGAACATACACCACTTCTTTTGTCAACCATAGATGGAGGTTTTCAGTCATCTTATAAGAAACAGTATTATACTCAAAACTCAAGTAACTGTGATGTAAGTCAGTAAGTGAATAAAAAATTAATTTTAATGGTTTTAAAATACAAAATACAAAAATTGTGATCAATTTGGTCTAAACATATCAATTCACGTATTCGTTATATACTTATATTAATTATTACTTATTTATTATTATATATTTAAATAATATCAATTTATTTCATTATATTTAATATTTCAGTTCGACTACTACCATACTTTAATGGAACCGAAAACATCTGTCTCAGTTTCCAAAACTGGAAAGGGATCCTCTGAAATTTAATGTTATATTTTATTTTAATTATTACCAGCAGTTATAAATTAATATGATCTTATTTTCTAGCTGACTATATTGTAAAATAAATATTAAATAATTAGTGTTTTTTTTTAGTTTTTCCCAAAAATGAATAATTAACGCATTTTAATGACTAACCCTTTGGTCAGTAGCAAACGTATAAATCTAAGTTTCATATTTAAACATAAACGTATATTTTCCTCAAATATAATTTTAATATAGTAAACATTGGCTTAAAGTGAGTGTAGGACCGTAATGTCTTTCCTCAAAACATGTATTTATTTTGTCAATAACCTTATGTACTTGTTCTATTGGAGAACAATAACGGAGATGATGAACACCAAACACATTTGTGATGATGATTTCTATTAAGTCAATATTCCATAGTATATAGCGAAGCGGAAACATATATAAAAACAAATTAAATTGTAGACAGGAAGTCGATAATATAAATTTGTACAGTTAAATAAATAAATGTTATAAATTAATTGTGTTTTTTTGTGTTACTGTTAAAAGACTGTAAATTGCAAAAACAAGTTTCATAGAATTAAAAACATAATTATAACTAATTGTCAATTAATATTAAGAACTTAAAATAAGATCCAGAACCGACATTTCGTAGTGGTAGACGGATTTATATACTTGGGCTACCTGATAACCAACAATGGCGATTGCTTCTCAGAAATCAAGCGTTCAAGACCGAACAATACTAGCTCAGGTTGGTCAATGCCCTTATTTTTTCCATCGCTACATACGTAGCCGAAACATGAGACTCACAAAAAATCGATAAATCGATAAAAATCGAGTAAGATCGAAGCCTTCGAAATGTTGGACTATAGAATTCTACGCGTGTCCTGGAGAAAACATACAACCAGCTTGACAATTCTGGTTGAGCTTCATATAAAGGACAGATTATTAAAAAAAGTAAACCGAGTGTACCTAAACTACTTCAGATACATAGCTAGAAGAACTGGGTTCATGGAACTATTGGTAGTAGAAGGAAAGATAGAAGGCCGACGACCAAGAGTAAGATCTCCAACACGATGGACAAACCAAATGAAGACTCTGGTGGGAAAATCCATACATGAAGCTGTCGATATGGCACAGAATCGCACAGAATGGAGACAGCAAGCCAATATTGATAGTGTCACTACGCCCTGACAAGGGCTCAAGGAATGCGGAGTACAATTTACAAGTGTCCACTATATCCAATGCTTTTAGTGGATTTAAAGTAATTAGAACCATTTAATTCTCAGATATTTTCAGATGATGATTATGAAGCTGTTGCTACCACAGAGGGAGATATAGCACTAGAGATCAATACAAAGCAGAATACAGCAAATACAAACATACGACCAGAAAAAGAAGTCCTAATGAGATGAATATAGAGCAACCACCAACCTCAACAGTTATCTCAAGAGATTTAGAGCCAGCAAAAAAGTTTTTTTTTATTCTGCTATTCGTTCTGCTATTCGTTCACTAAAATTTCTACCATATCGACCGATGTAAGTTTTTGAGCCGTCGCCACATTTATGTTTGTATACACCACTGCGTGTGCATTTTATTTTGGCTCTTGTTGTTTTTAATACATTTGCCTGAGTTGTTTGTTCTGAAAGCTGGTTTGAAAAGTTTGAAGTTTGAGAACAAAGTTTTCAGTGTTTTATTGTTACATAAAATGAATTTCCATGAAGTAACGGTCGAATCCATCAATTATTGTCTTCAGTCTTTTTATTTTTGAGGTATCACGCCGATCTTACCCACATTAGTTCGTCAACTTAACTACATGTGTGGGTAAGATAACTAATTGAACACTTTTTGTTTTTAATCTCAAAGTTTATGTATTACCTTCCTTTCCTCTAAGTATGGGAATGTAGTCTTGATAAATAGCTTCTTGATATAAGTACGCAGTCGACACTAAACTAAGATCTAACTTCAGATAAGCAATCCAAAACAAAATACAAAATAAAATAAACAAGGAATCTATGTCACCAATATTTAAAAGAAGCTATGTCACGAATATCTCTGCTCCCTCATGTGGTAATGTGCCTTTTTCTCATTCTGTTCTCATTCACCAGTATGGAGAAGTATATTGGGTTCTTTAATCTTTTTAATGGCCTTTCATAATTACCCACTGTTCAACGAGTATTTGTTCTGCAATATTATTTTGTGTTTTTTATATTATATGCCTTAGTGGTCCTTCCTAGTGAACCTAGTGGTCATGTCTTCTGATTTTTTAATGTTCTTGGAATGGTTTTTTCTCTATAGGTTTATATTCTGAAGTAAAATTGTAAGCTACTTCTTAGAGTGATGTGGTAAAAGGCAATTTGAAGTTAAAACTGTTGAAAGGTTAAAATAATAAAGACTCTTATAATACAATTAATTTATTTTTCTATTTTACATATGCAGACAAAATATCACCACGCAATATTTTTGCATTTAGTTACAAATACAAATATAAGATACAATATTGTGCTCAGTACACCGAAATTAAACACATTCATTCCTTCATTGTCCGTTATCAAAATGCCCTTTAATACTCAAAATTAAATATCCCGTTCATAAATTAAAAAATGATCAGTTATAAATTGTGTGCATTGAATTGCATTGCATTGAATTTTTAGGGGTATCTTTACTTTTAGTATGGCAACCTGAGAATATAGTAGATTTAAGGTTTTATAAGAGTTTGAAAACTGATAGGAACTCAGAATAAGTTACTACTGATTTAACAACAGAACTATAAACTAAGGTGCAAAAAATTCGATCCATTATATATGTATAAAAATGTAGTACTAAAAATATTTTAGAATAATATAAAATTTACACGCAGATTCCACTAAATCTCGAATAATATATAACAATAATTGCTCACATTATATAACTGATCTAGCAAATTGCTTAGAAAACTGTTATTATATTAAGTATTTAATACTAGAGGTAACATTTTCCTAATTTGCGCATCTTGAAACTGAAAACTGAACAGTAATAACCACCTTCAAAATTATTTGATGCTTAGTATGCGAAGAAAACAAATAAGCAACATATTTTTGCAATTAGTTATTAGTTCGTCCTTTAAAAAAATAAGACTAGCAAAATATTAAATATAAAAATTAAATAGATATTACACTGCATCTCTTTTTTTTTGACAAATTTCAAATTTCAAGCCATAACGATGAATATATAGACTGAATAATATAGAGACATCGTTGAAAATTGGATGAGGATGGATTGGGTATGCAGGGTGTCCATAACCAATGAACCATATAGCAGCTGGAGAAATAACAGATTAAATCAGGTCGATTAACACAAACGAGCACTATTGAAATATTTATTTTAAACAAAATACAATGCGTTTAAGATTGGATACTATCATCGAAATTTCTTGCATCCTCTATGCATCTGTTGTCTGTTGAAAGAAAGTAGATCAAGAACAGAGAAAAGGTTAGCATGCTTGAGCACGCTGTGGAGATCCTCCTTGGTTTGGATCCACGTCCGTTGGCAATTAAGGAGGAAGCAATAAAACAGGCACTCGCACTTCATGAGGAGTACCATTTCAAAGAAGGTAACCTCAAAGATCATCTGGAAATTCTCAGATCCACTCCTTTATTCTACATGATAGCTGCAAGTGACCAGATATCGACAAAAATGGTCTTGGACCATAAATATAATGTTCGTTTCCCAAGTAGAGAGGAATGGGCGGAAAGAGCCGTATGTGTTTAAAAATGTGGTGGAAGATTAGTAGTAGTGGGGCCAAGGTTCAAAAAACAAGTATCCTTCGATTCTGAAGCCACCATTTTCCAAGCAGAAGTACACGCCATTCATATAGCAGTGGAACATATGCTAAGAAAAAATGCCAAGCCGCATTAAAAGCACTGCGAAGTAATAGTTTTAAATCAAAAATGCTTTACAAGTGCCCTTAACCAGCTTGCGGACAAGTCTAGGTTCAAGAGCATGAAGGAATAGCAGGCAACGAGCAAGCAAATCAGCAAGCTAAACTCGGGTCAAAAAAACCTTTTGTAGGACAAGCTCCCATGTTCGGCTTCGACCAAAGTAATTATGAAGACTTGAAGAGGTAATTACTAAACGGAGAAACCAAAAAATCAACATAACCTGGAATAAAACCAAGACAAAACCAGGTCTAAGAAGTTCCTTAGCTCTAACAAAACGAGAAAGAAGGAAGTGTTAAATGTAAACAGAAGAGAGCTAATACTCATGTGTGGTAGTGGAGTCCAGGAAATATCCATTACAGATATCAATTGAGTAAGATTGGACTGGTGGATGACGACACACGCAGGTACTGGGGTAAAGAGGTGGAGTATATGGAACAGATTATCACGAGGTTCTCAATTGTGGAGCTTGATTGACTTCGATAAGGACATAGACTTCTCCTGAATTAAACAAGAAATGGGCAGAAAAGATCTCATTTGGTCGCAGTCCAGGAGGTTCCTATAAGAATTCTCACCCTGGTCTTAACAATAACAATCATCAAAATTTTGTAATAATTTCTAGACAATCACGTAGACGTTGAACTTATAGTATTAAACTAGATAGACCTTGTTTTACCCAATGAGAATTGTTTAACTAGCACCTTCTGTGAGTACCGTCAAAGGCGATAATAAATTATTATTTCTAGTCCTCAAAAACTTATATTCTACCTTGTGAGTGTAATATATTGTCAGTTATTATCAAATTATTGCAAATTGTAGATAATAATATCGTATCTTTTACGCCCTATATTCTTTTTACAATAAAAATTTTACCACGGCATATTAGTGTTAACCGAATTTAGTCTCTTATTTTTCACTTACGTATGGTCCATTAGTTATGGGAAACTCTGTATATAATTTTTAATAAAGTTTGTTTTTCATAAATAAACTTTGGAAAAAATTATATTTACGGTAGATTTTAGCCTCTAATTAACTTTACACATTAGAAATTTTCCAAATAGCAAGTTCGTTTGCTCGATATTTACACCACAAGCTTCCGGTGCATAAAGTATTTTCCACCTAAGAAGACCGCTTTGTAATTAAATACTGGTAACTTTATTACTAACGCACCAGATAAGCGGCGATATATTT